TTTGAAAAATATCCCAAATGGCACTTTTATTCCATCTCTATTTTTGTTGTAGGTTCTGGTTCTGGGTATCGGTACGACTCAAACGCCTTTTTATTCTCACTTGTAAACAAGCCAGGATGGGCACCCGTCAAGCTGCCTCAGACAGGGAAATATAGCTCCAGAAGGCAATATTCCATAGAAGATAACCCATCATATGGGCCTGAGGACATGACATTCACATATCAAACTACGCGTCATCCAATCGCAATTCATATGGCGACCTTGGCTTTACTTACAGCCCACCGAGCGGGTACAGCTACACCAGCACCTTCGCCAAAACATTCCTGGCAGGAACATACAATTTCACACCAGACGAAATAGAAACGTTTTACGAAGCAACTTAAATAGTTATAATGAGCTACAACCCGTTTTATGTTTAAGTAATGAGCTTGTTGTTTTCTTTGGCATTTATGAGAACTAGAAATAACTAAAAAATCTCTAAAATCGATTGTCCCAGTAAGCTTATCAGTAAAAAAAAAACTCTTAGCAGCTGTATGAAAAGAGGCTACGAAATGTTACAGAACATAATACATCGTTCGGTTGTTTGTTATGTGTTCGGCTCGAATACAAGCCGCTGTTCGGGAAATGAGCCCGCGCTCCTCCCCCCGAATAGGGGAGGACCAGGAGAGGGGCGAAAATAGAGCTTTGGCAATATGTATGTACAAGAGCCATTCTGGCTCTTGGTATGCATTTAGGTCAGGAACACGCGAGGCCATTCAAAGGAAAATTCTGAACCACTCGCTTGACGGGAGTGTGAGGCTCCAGCGAAAATCTCCCCCAAGCGCTTCTGCTTAATCAGCTGTGTAGCCCTTTTTCTCCACTTCGATTGATTAAAAGATTTTTCAGAGAGTTCTTTGGATTCTGATTAACGCTTAGTTTATGGGTTTTTTGTGGTACTTGATAGATTTCTACTCAAAAGTTGATTATCTATTTCATCTTTATCCCATCGTTTCTCCCAGACAATAAGAATTGTTCTTTACATCAGCTCAAGCAATTTTAAGTTCAGGAATTCTTTTACTAACTCACCCGTCAATAGTGTTTCCCTTGATGCGCTCGAATGAGTTTTTATCACGTGAGATGTACTTCAAACATCTCATGCAAAATGATTAGAGCGGTCACTGGATCAACGTGGCTCTGACTAAAAACCATTATTTGGTCTATTTAATTGTGCGATTCTAACATGGACGTAGTATTTGAACTTTTTTGTCTTGTAATTTTTTTAGAGCAAAGTGCACTCTACTCATTTTAGACAAGACTGTTTTGTCACGTGACGTGTTGTCTCAACCTCTAACGGGAAACAGTAGCCCAGTCCTTTGAAGTTTGCGGTTTTCCCAACCAGTGCCCTCTACTAAGTATGCACAGAAACAGTCCTTTTTTTGTGACACTTAGGACTGCCGGTCATTTAGTGTTTTGAAAACCTTGACCGGCAGTCGAACTGAAAAAAGTCTAAGTGTCACAAAACATGGTTTCGTCTTCTGAACCCAGCGTAAACCAAACGCTAGACTTGAGATCTATAAAGCATTTCAGGATCGCTTGACTTTTCTTAATGGACATGATATGATAGTTCAGATTAGCTGGAATTTTTCGATTTTGTGAAATTTTCGGAGAATATAGGACTGCCGGTCATCAGTTAGTGTTTTCAGCACCTTGACCGGTTACTGGCCATACAGCCACAGTGGTCAAAAGAAGCCTACCTACATCAGCGCGTCAGCGGCATATCCACTGACTTCCACATGACAATTTTATAGCTTGGTTTTTAGTTGGCCAAAATTGTTGGCCGGTTGAAAGTGCACTTCTCTGGAGTCTCGGGAAACGTTGGTTTATATGCAACAAACTTGACAGGTTAAAAAATTTACTTCAGAATGGAGTTTTTCTAAAAAGAATAGCCTATCATTCACTCTTCAGTCTTCGTATCTCGTAAGGGAGGGGCCCGGGGAAGGGAATTAAGGAATTTGGGGGTGGGCATGTGCCGCTGGGACCCTGAGGTCCGTTTCTCGAAAGTCCCGGTAACTTTTCGGGCTCGAAATCAAATATTCAAATCGAAATATAAAGAATAGGAGCGCCGGTCCTGGCTTGCAAACTACTCCATTTTGTTTCATTAACTGATAGTTTTATCATGTTAGATGCAAAACTACTGAAACCTCAAGCTTTAATGTTAACGGGGACAGCTTACCGGGCCCGTTAATTATCGGGACTTTCGAGAAACGGGCCCCTGGACCCTTAGCCGATACCAGAGCTATTTCAGTTGCTACCCTATACTAGATTAAATTCCCCAAATCCCCTCTATCGTGGAGTAGCTGATTTCCAGAAACTACGGCGGTTACTAGCACAGTCCAGCCAAAACAAAACCAATTTGATTTTTTTATATATATTTTTGAGTGGCAATTCCGGTTTCCCTAGTCTTGACTAAAATTTTTAACCAATTGGTCAGTTTCCAGGAAAATGATACCCTATTCTGGATCCAAACTCTCTGATTTATATACCCTACCCTAGAGTATACTGCTTGAAAACCATACCCTTAATAGCGGCACACCTATATAGCCCTTATATGGCAGTACGTTTGAGCTTCAAATCGAAAACTTGAAACAAGTTTGATGTATTTTAATGTGATATGACAAGTACAAACTGAACGCTATCCATCCTTCTACATCACACATAAAGAGTGATTTTAGACAACTGCTATTTGTCTCTTCGAACGCGGTAATGAAAGCTATTAAATTCTGGCCTGAGGTTTAAAAAAGGGTATAAGCTACTGGCAACTTTCCACTGACTATACCGGAAATTACTTTACAAGTTAGGTTGAACTGAAAACGAAGACCGATTGCGAAACATCTACTATGTGATTTTTTTGCATTGGTGATCGAAGAAAGAAAGCACTCGTCACAAGAGAACTGGTCGTGATCATCACAAATATGAGATCGGCGAATAGTATTACCTGATGTGTGTGTGGTTTTTTTGTTTGTTTGCTTTTTCTTGTATTGATGTTTATTTATTGGTTTTAGTTTTAGTTTTCTTTTTTCTTCTTTATGGTTAGAGAAAAAAAAAAACATTTTTGAGGTGAAAATCCGATAAAAGACTGGCGCCTCTTCCTAGATTATCCTAAATTCTCACGTTTTCAGGCTCTTGGTTGGAATCGTGTATACTGACACAGCTGTGCACCTTTCATAATCACTGAGGAGTCAACAATCATTACCAACCAAGTAATAAACCGAGTCACCTGAATAAGCAAGAAGAAAACACAAAAGTCTCTAATTACTTTCATTTACAGGTTAAAGATAGCCTACTCATTTAATTGAAAGGAGGTGATCAAGTAAAAATATTTAAGATACTTTACTAAAAGCGAAGCGGCTATTTTACATATTAAGTAATTATCTTACCGGGCATGCAAGAAATTTTTTTTCAATTATTAGTTTTTTTCTTTTTCTCTAGGACAACAAGTAGTAACTTATGTCCAAAAATTATATCACGGATTCTATTTTAACAAAGTTCTATTTTCATCGAAAAAATATAGATCTCCGTGGCTGCACAGACTTCCTCGCCAAAGCTTGGATAAACAGGTATTAATAATTTCAGAACAAATAACCACAAATTATTATAAAGCGTCCATATTCCAGTTCAAGCACGTTTTTTTCTGTATTTTGGAATCCTAATTACTTAGAAACTTATCGTTGCTGCGGGCTAATTTTAAACTGCAATTACACTAACGTCTCCTTCTCTCTCTCGTTTTACAGGAGAGCTTTAAGGGTTTACGTTATTACCCTCTACTAAAATTTTAGAATGTGTACCAGTTGCTTAAAGAGGTCCTTAAAATACGATATCTATGCAAAATTAAAATTGCCTTAAACGTGAAAATAACTACCCAAACGTTGAAAGAAGGAGTGAATAAGAATTCATGAATTCCCTTCCCTTTGCTTAAGCCGAGGCCTGAGAAAGGTTATTAGGGACCTTAAGCTACGACGACGACGACGACGACGACGGCAGTGAAAACGTCGCCAAAAAAATGAATTTGCGTTCTTTCAACTTAATCGCGTCTATTTGGACCCTCTCAATATGTCAAATGCAGGAGACGTTTCGTGGAGTTGAATTCGTTAAGAATTTATTCAAGTTCAAAAGGAGGAAGGAAAATTCGTCGTCGTATGTCCACGTCCTCCATAAAACGTCAAATTAGGAGGTTTCACGTAGTAGTGGTGCAGTGGACGTCAAAGAAATGTACTTAAAAGCGCGATGCATGTCAGAGCTGTTGTTTTGATCATTAAACCTATTTTTTTTTTTAAATGTCGCCGTCGGCCTCGTAGTTGCTTAAGCTCCCTATTTCCTTTCAGACGCACGGGGCCTAACCGTATCTGTTATTATCTGGGTTCATAAAGGGAGTGAAAAACCAATGGTTAACAGAGATTCTTATTCAGATTGAAATAGACCACAAAATTAAAAAGCGCATCATCCATCTTGATGAAAATTATTTCTGAAATCATGAAAAAAAAAAATTGAAATCAATCAGTAAATATAAATACTCAATTTTCTCCGCTTTTCACCCGCTATTGAGCACGTTTTACAGCAACACGAAAATGCAAAAAGGAAAAAGGTCAATTAGGGACAGACCATAATTACAGAAAACTCTCATGAATTTTTTTTCGTGAGCAGATTCTATGTATGAATTTTTTTAGGCTAGTGCATGAATATTTTTTGGCGTTTCTTGGCGTGCATGAGTTTTTTTCATTTAGAGCGGTTTCCCTTACACGAATATTTTCTCCTTTTCACCTTCCCCCTCCCCCATAACGCAATTTTTTTTTTATAACTGTCCGTACCGTCCCTTATGACACTGCATATAAAGCCTTGTTTTAACGTCAATCGTGATGACATGTTTTTTTGGGCGAAATTTTTAAGGATCAAGTTTTACTGGCAAGTTTCCCACTTCCCTCCATCTTCATATGCATGGGACGATTGGCATGTAAGCTGCAGAAATGAAATCCTCGAACTCCTCAGAATCTCGTCGACTCCTTGATTTTGTTCCGTCACTTAGACCGTCGTTCCTCTCTGTTCTATTAGTTTTTGTCTGCGGATGTCTCTGGGTGAAGAATGAAGCAACAAATGAACGATTGATGGGGCTGGAATCTCGCATCAACCTTTTCCCCTGCGTTCAGAGTGTCTCGACTGAAAATAATGACAGGATATCTCTTTCACCGACAGAAGCTACAGCAAGAGATCTTTATAAGAAGGTTCAGACACATGTATCCGAAAGGATCAGTTATACATCAGGTAAAATCATCGATTTAGATGTTATTTTGATGCAGATAGAGCTGAGTTTATCCTCTTTTGATTTAGGCATATAGGCTTTCATAGTGAGAGTTTGCGCTTACATACGGGATCTTTGGATATTTCATGACAGAACTGAATTTTAACTTCAACTAACACTGTATGAACCCTTTTGTAATACTCTCACTCTTTTGTAATATTGCTTAGATATTCATTAAGCCACCTATACTGTTAAAACAGTAAAGAAATTTACGGTGTAAATGATGTTGAATTTATGAATTAAGTGCCGAACGACTCGCTAACGTACAAGATACGGCCATAAAGCTTCATAAAACAAAAAAAAAATTCGCTTATATTGTAGACCATATAGAATGGTAGAGGAAGCTCCCTGAGCATTTACGGTGTGCTTCCAGAACGTGCATGACAGTTTTCCATAAGAGCTTGTTTTAGGTTGAGCACGGATGGCGTGACAAAAGGCAATAGTGCATAGCATTTTTTTTCCCTTTTCCTTATGTTTGTTTTAAGAGCTTA